AGATTTAAGCCAGTTATCAACAATACTTTAGAAAGCTTTTTCCTCCTGATCTAGTTGTGTGGTACCTCTTTCCAGCAGCTCGAAGGCTTTGTGTGTTTAAGTACCCTGGTTGCCTTCTGCTTATCTAATTTTTATTTGTAAAGTCAGTAACCTGACTTTTTTTTAAATTGCAAGTTAATTTGTACAAATAACTTTTCTAAGCACTTGTGGGTTATATGCTTTGATACCATTTGGTGGTTGAGAATTTGGTAAACCACTTCCTTCTATTATACTATGACCTTCAAAGAGCCTCCTTTGAAATACTCAAGCTGCTAGAAACTTTAAATATTACAAGGTCTAATTTACAATACATTGATTGCCCTACATATTTTCACTTCCTTTTGTGAAAAATTCATGTAGGATTGTGAAAGAGAAGCATCATCCTTGAGGGTTTTTCCTCCTGCAAATCATGTTATCCCTTTAAATATTACATGGCATTTTTGAATGCCAGCGATAGATTTTATCCTCAGACACCAAATGGTCCTCCCAGGATCCATCCCTGATATGCAATGTAGATAAATCATGCATAGAGAAAAATATTTGTGAACATATTACATTGGACAGTATATTTTTTTAAAAGAAAGCAATGTGGATAAAATTAGAAGATGAAATATGCTTGTGTTGCTATCCGTATTACATGACGTGCTCTGGGACATTAACCTGTGGGAGGGGTGTTAAATAAACGCAAGGTGTTGTATTGGGGTCCCCAGTTTTATATTGAACCCGATATAATGAATAACTGACCAGAATCAAAGGAATTCATGGCTTGGCTTACCAAAAAATTAGTATCAGACTTGTGGGGAAAAAAAGTATTTTCTCTGCAATCGATATCAGGTGGACAATGAAGAGAGATGAGCAAATAAAAAGGATTTTGCAATGATCAACCTTTATAGGGCATGTTAATTATTTTTTAAATATATAGCACGATAGCTTTAAATCTTGGACCACCAGTCAGAAACCCCCAAGTCAGCTCCACAAGCACAGAAAGGCATGCATCTTGACTGGGAGAGGCTGTGACTGGTCTCAGCTGAACTGACAGATGGAGCACTGCGAGGAAATAGAGTGCTACCATCTCGGGGGCAGCAAATACTGGCAGGACTCTGAATATTTCACACAAGTGCTCACTGTCAGCCAATTGCAGAGTGACATTGACAGCAGCTTTTAAGACAACTGCTGCCTTGTCCTGGCCAAAGAAAGAAATGCATCAGCAGAGACACACACACACACACACACACACACAGATAGAAAACAATCCTTTTCCACATTGCTGAAGCTCATCTCTTGGTGGTTCAGCCAGTCATCATGGAACTATCCACAGGCTGACACATCTGACAAAGTAATATAATAATAATAATAATCCTTGCATTTGATATAGCGCTTTTCACGTCGGGAGGACGTCCCAAAGAACTCCACAGAACACACTGTAAAATTAATTGACTGTATATTTGTGGGCGAATGCGGCAGCCAATTATGCACAGCAATGTCCCACAAACAGTCGCAGATTGAAAATGACCAATTTATTATTTTTGGGGGGTTTTCAAAGTAGCAAGGAACCTAGGAGCTATCCCATAGAAAGTTATGAAAGGGAGCCACCGCAAAGCAAAATAAGAGGGGAAAATTTGAATTACTTTGTCTAGATTACAGTCACCACATGAAAAGTGCTATACTGCGATCAACTCTCCGATTAAAATAATTGGATATCTTAAGCTCTAAACCCAACAGAAAATATCAGGCCCTATTCCCGAATAGATCCAAGAAATGAAGAGTCTGTGCCTGGCAAGTATTCAACAAGTACTCAAAACTAAGATTATTATTTGAAACAAAGTAAAATGGTAAAAGCATAGCAAAGCACATCCTAAACATAATCAAACCGTGGAATAAATACTGGACAATTGCCTTTGATTAAGGAATAAAACCTAACCCTGCATTTTAGAAAAAAATCAAAAAAGACGACCTGTTTTGAAGTGATCAGAAGGTGGCACTGTTGTACCATGACGTTAGATGGACTGTAGGTCCTTTAAGCTTATTGAAATCATAGAATTAGTCTTGACAACATACTGCACAATAGGTGCTTAGAATCCTGTGTACCTGATCCTCCTGTAAAATCTGAAACGAAAACCTTGGAATTGTTTTTAAAAACATCATTCAAAAGTATCAAGAGTACTTCTTCAGGTTTTTGTTTTGTTTTGCAGTTTGCCCCATAGCACTATGCTCACTGCTCCCCCCCCCCCGCAGCTGGATATTGGCTTCCTTCCTTGAGAAGAATCTGGGTCACATAGGTCTCCATGGCCACCATTCATAGAGCTCTGCAGCAGCAACAGCAGCAGGCAGGACGTTCATTTCTTGGCTTCCTCAGTTCTTTAGCTGGGCGGTTGGACGAAGGACTGTCGGCCAGTAATGTATACTGAGGCAGTCAAGAATCGACACAAGTCGTACACTCAGGTTAAATGCATGGCATTTCACAATCGTAAATCTTGACCCAAGCTCCATTTCAGATAAAAGCTTGCAAACTAAGTTTACCGAACAGTGTCCACTCCTTCGAAGAGATATTAACTAGCACTGTCACAGAGAGATGCTCATAAAAGTCCGACTACATGAGATGAAGTATCCAATGCATATCAGACTTCAATTCTTCAGGACACGACACCCTGTACTTCTGAGCTTACCATTATTATTTTTTTTAGCAAAGTACAGTAAACTTTGTTTGTGACCAAAACTACAAAGTACACACGAATGCCCTGAAAACGAGAAATGCCAGTTGCTATAAATTTAGTAGCAGAAAACTACCCATTAGTAATTCAGGTCCCTTCCAGTTATTGGGCACTACAAGTAATACATCAGATGAAGCACCATTACTGCAATTTCTTGCAGCTAAGTTAGAGTTAAATTAGTAAGATATAACTTCAGATTTTGAACATGGTGACTTTTCAGATAAATGATACTCCAACGTAGGAAACAACTCACGTCAGATAAATTACCAGAAGAGGATGCACATGAAAATTTACCTATTAAACATAACAGTTAAGACAGAAATAAGATGTTAATTACAGTAAATGAAGCACAACAAGAATGCACTTGTGCCTTTGGTAAGATACAATGAAGGGTGGAACTCAATAGTGTTAGTCAACAGTATGTTATCAGAATACATAAGTCATATCGTCAACAACCAATAACAAACACTGGTTCACATTGTCCCTTTCTGAATAATTATCCATTAGTCCGTTACAAACTGAAGTGAACACTTATTCAGAAAATATTCCTAAAGCCTATGCTTACAATTGCTGAGTTCTGAACATTACAGAATGTAGTAATGGTGCTCTTTGAACTCTTTGCAAAACATTACAATTAGGCACTTTGTGTAAATGAATCAGAAGTGTTCTTTTTTAATGTAAAAAAATAAAGTGTATACATTTTAGGGATAATCTGGAATGAAGAGGTAACCAAATGACAAGCAAATTTGGACTTTCAATTGAACAAGAGCATTTGAAGTATGTACTTATGCAGTGTTTCAAACCCATCACATGTAACATTTCATCTTATGAAACAAAATTGTGATATAGCTCAGGGTACATCTAGCTTAAGACAGTTTATAGACTGAATCTCAATAGCAGTCCAGTGGTGCAACATTGCTGCTAGAAAGGAGGGGGAAAAAAAGGGAAAATAAATCCCTGGACAACCTAGCAGTGGATTCAAGAGTGATATTAGTGGAAGCAAGTTACCTGCCTAGAAAGGGAAGAAAATGCACAGCATTAAATCTAGTCAACATCTTTCCTCTGATCACAAAAGGCATATAAAGGTCACAAGTTCAACATTGCATTACATTAATTATGGAGAAAAGCTCAACTTGTTAACTTCTAAAACCTCTAAAGATACCACATTCTCTTTATAAACATGAAATATATACAACCTTCTTACGCTTGAGACCCATGTTGATTATTAATCATATGTCAATAACTAAACAACCCAATGCTTTTTGCAACAAGCACATATTTGGTGGATGGCAAAGTAGTAAATGGTTACATTTGATATGAAAAAGTTAAATAATCCTGGCTTTCTTTTGCTGCTGGAAGTTAAAATGGGTTAGAATGCATTTGTCATAAAATGGCAACAACTTGCAAAAGCAGGATTCTTCCTCATGTTTTTGTGGATGTCGGGTGATCCAAAGTTTTGTCATCTTCTTGAATTTTGCTAACTTATGTCAGTATATTCAAAACTGATTAATTTGGTAAGGATGCAATGTCAAAACGAACATTCTGCAGAGTATAGAGATTAACAAGAAAGCAATGTAGTATGAACAGAACTACTTAAAATAGCAGATGGATTAAGTTTCATGTAAATATTTCCAGTTTATTCTATGAGCATTGTTAGTGCAGTGACTTTGCACAACAATGCTGACTTAATGAGTCTCCCTCATTGAATAAAGAAATCATATCAACATTTACAATACTGCCCTAGCAACATGCTTTCTCTGTTGGCTCCCAACGACAGCCTTGTCTAGATGGTCTATTATATTCAAAAGTCCTTTCAAGCTGCGCCCACCAGCAAAATAACCCCCCAGCAAACTAGGGCAACAGTCATACCATACGCAAAGTACAGCACTGCAACAAGTGATGTTAGTACATTTGAAAAATCTACAGAAAATTAATGCTATGGCTCTTGCATATTTTCAAATAATGATGAGAAAGCACCATCATCATTCGCAACCTAGATTTATTCTGCAGAGGATTTAAATACTGTACATTGAAATGTTAGTGGAATAAAACCATAGCCCTCCTTCATTTAAAAAGGTATAGTGTGAAAATTCCCCCATTCCCTTTCAAAGAAATGACATAAAATAGATCGAAGATCATAAACTTATTTCTGCGTCACAATTGCATTTCAAGATTCTAGTTAATAACCAAACCATAATCAATTTATGCTCCAGTTTATCTTTCACTATTTTTATAAAAAAAGACACACAATTTAATGTCAGTTATTTTAATGATAAGAATTGTTGCTCAATTTTCATAACAGGTTCCAACAGTGCCACATCATTGCACTGGCGATTCAGTTCACTGAATGAGGTAATATATGAAGGCACATATTCACAAAATGTACAGGTATTTAGACTCTGCCATAAACAAAAATACATAAGTCTGCAAAATTAGGTTCTTAATACAATTGATTTTTTTTTTAATTTTGCTAAAACTAAAAAAAAAGCCCTACTCACGATTGTCACAGTTTTACAACACACTGAACAGTGGCAAAAAAAATTCAACACTCAAAATTCAGAGACTTCTTGCTGAATAAGCGCTAAGGAGTTTAATCAAAATCACCCTTCACTTTCCGATTGTCCTCTATAGACTATACAGAACATTACTGTTAAAATTTAACCATGAAAACATTTTCCTATAAAAATGCAATAGAAGTTTTGTAAAAAAAAGTATACTCCATTTCTAACGCCTCTTCTAAATTCTCACTATAAAACTCTCCATTAATAAATTTCAAAGGTCTGAATTATACACAGCAACTCTGTAGTAAAGATCAAAAAACTATAAATAATTTTTTTTTGATTATACAAAAATTTTTCACAGCACTTACCTGTTTTCAATTTGATTAGATGACATTTCCAGTTTTTAATCTTTCCTTTAAACTGCTTATTTTTTAAAAAAAAAGCAGTTATGGTTAACCGATTTTTAAAATAAACAAACTTCAAGAGAACACAGAGTGCAACATAAACATTTTTTTTTAAAGTGTGCAACACCATTTTAATAGATATCTTCAAATTCAAAAAGGAATTGAATTCACATTTTACTTCTTCAAAACCTTTTTTCTTTTTTGTTCTGGTATGATTCAGCAATACCCATGTGGCTGAAAAAAAATTCACATTAACAGTGATAAACACCAGCATTTTTTCCAGAGAATATCAGTAATATTTATGCACTTAATTGACAAAACTAAAAATGGAAATCAGTAGTAATTGCTGCTGTTGGGATTCTATCGCAAGTTGGAGAACTCAAATGTTTCGTAAGATTTCACACTTACTGCATCAGGTCAAAAAGGGGCTATTTCACTTGAAAATTATAGCCCCAAAACAAAATTTTACTTCAGTTTTCTAAAGACAGTATTTAACCAAAACAAAAAACCCACTGCATCCCAAACATCAAAGTCCTATAAATACATATCAAGTTTCATCAGGAAAAAGCAATACAACATTTAGTAGTTGTTCTTAGTGCTATATTCAAATCACAGCAAAACACCAAGGATACCACAACACTCCAGAACTGAATTCCTTCAGTAAATAAGACGACAGTACCCCAAACTCACCAGATTAAAGCTGCAGTACTGTATAGTAAAATACCACAATTGATTTGATTCTCATTGGAGTCAACGGTATTGGGTCAATTACAAATGAAAGGTCACATTGTCAAAGTGTACCCATGTACAGTAAAGTTTCATTTCAGGGAGGTGTAAGATTATTTGCTTAGGCATTAACCAGCGTGCATTGGCTGCTAGGGCGACAGTATGTGGCAAACAAGCATTTGGCAAACTGTCTGTGAATCGTTTTGGGGATGTATCATGACTGAATTTAGTAGGTTGATTGACGATAAACCAGGAAAGGGAAAAATAAAACCTGCTACCATTTGTGCCATATTGGGGTGGGAAAAAAATGAAATCCGGTGTGAAAGATTTCCGGAATTCCAGGAGTGAAGAATAGAAAGGGGGAGGGTTTAATGAAAAAAAACACGAAACAAAAATCACCACTAATGACACTTCTGTGCTGCAATTAGATTAAAAGAAATCTGTACTGGTTGTGCTAAAATGTTACAATGTTTCCTAAAAAAAAGTACTGCAGCTTTAAGAACAAGTTTAAAAGACATGTATTGAAAGCAGACGCCTTTCTTCGCACGGACATTTTATGAAAGAAAGCCATGCGGTGGAATTGGTTTCTTTATACATTTACCATGCATGGTTTTCAATAATGTACATGAATTTCAGGTTTTTCCTTCTTTTTTTATAAAAACATTATCTGATGGCAACGCTCTTTACAAGACCACAGTGGAACTTGCGGATGTGTCTATACAGATCACCTGACTGGGTGAAACGCCTCTCACACCATTTGCAGGCATGTGGCTTCTCCCTAGTGTGCACAACTGCATGACGACTGAGATTGTGAGAGTACTGAAAGCTCTTGCCACACTGGCCACAGGTGTAAGGCTTCTCACCCGAGTGAGTTCGTTCGTGACGCTTTAGCGTGTACATGCAGGAAAAGGTTTTCCCACACTGCGAACAGGTGGGCACTGAGCCGTCAGTAGGCATTTTGACCCGAGGGCCATCCTTCTCCCTGAAGTGAGTGCTCAAGTGAAGCTGAAGAGCGGGGGGACTTAGGAAGCCTTTGCTGCAGAGAGGGCAGATAAATATGTGCCCTGTCGACATTCTGGTGTTGGAAACGTCTGATGATGCCATGTCATCCTCACACCCCTCCTTTTCCCGTTTGATTTCTTCGGGGTGCGTCACGCCATTCCCTGGGAACACGGGGCCGACACTTGCTACCACAGGACTGGCAGAATTCCCAGTCTGATATGCTGGATCCGTTTCTTCGCTCTCCTCATGGTCTGACGGCAACTCTTGTTCATCTCCAACAAGTGGCCCGGTGCCCTGCTGCTGACTGTCAGAGGCTAGCTGTCCAGAAACGTAGGGGGAGTAAAAGAAATCTCGTCCAGATACAGACTTGAAAGACAGATCTAGAGCACAATCCCCATCGGCTGAAGCCTCGAAAGGGTGAACATATCTCTGAGACAAAGACCCTGTGCAAGGACTGACACTACACTTTGTTTTTCCAGCTGCTGCATTGCCCAGTTCTGGTTTTGAAGATGAAGGACCATCGTCTACAAGATCAGAAAAGCTCCTCGAGTGTCCGTTAATCTTCCCGTCTCCTGCACTTGTTTGGTAGTCTGTAACAGTACAATTTTGTTTACCGTTTGCAGCGAGATCATTTACCAGCGGCTGCTCACTTTCTGAAGAGCCCTCTTCCTTTACGGACCCAAAGGCATCGCCATTCCTTTTTTCGTCCGGGCACAGCTCTTTATCCTTGAGTCTCCCCTTACAGACTTTCACAATGTCATACATATGGAGGTAGCTGGCCGCAGCGAGCACATCTTCAACTGGTAGATGGCTGAACTGAAGTTTCCCCTCATACATGAATTCAAGAAGCAGAGCGAAGGCAGGAGCTGTGACAATGTCGCTGTTGAGATGAACAATGTCCCTTTTGTCCAGCTGGTCCTTGTAAAAGAGATGGAAGTACATGCTGCATGAAGCAAGCACAGCACGATGAGCTCTGAACTGAGCGTCTCCAACGAGAACAGTGCAGTCACAGAGAAAACCCTGGTGACGCTGCTGACTCAGACACTGCAGCAACTGCCTGCTATGGTCTGGAAACTCCATTCTTCCTTCATAACCTGCAACGACAAAAAAAACACACACACATATATATATATATAATACACCGAGATCGCATGGGCACTCGAGAGAAAAACATTTTTTAAAAAAAAGAGAGAGAGAGAAATGCACGCCTGCCTTCGGGTTTTTTTCTCTCTGTGTGTGTGTGTGTGTGTGTGTGGTCAAAAAAAAATGACCTGTTATGCATTAGAGAGAGATATGCGTCTATGCATAGAGAAAAAAAGGGAGATCGAAAAGAAAAGTTTTACGTTTCAATAGATTATGCAACTCTCCATTCAATGTTAAGTCTCCAACCTCGGGAGGGAGGGGAGGGGGAGAGGAGGAGGAGGAGGAGGAGGGAGGGAGGGATGGGGAGGAGGGGGTGGTGGGGGTGGGGAGGGGGAGGGGGGGGGGCAGAGAAATTCCAACAAACTTCACTTCGTTTTAACATTTGCTCGGAATTGCAACGGAGAGCGCCTTTAGACGGCGTTTGTGCAGATGGCACCCGAAGAAGAAGAAGAAGAAGAAGAAGAAAAAGGAGGAGGAGAAGAGAGAGAAAAAAAAAGCACGGCAGCTGTCACGAAAATATAATCAATTAAGCAAATTAAGCCCCGATCATTTAGAGCAATTAGTTTCCCAAGTAACCAAACTTCAAACACACTCTCCACACCACACACACACCACACACAAAAAAATATATCGGTCGGTCATTCCACGATTGCTCCAAATCACACGCACATCCCACACCAACTGTTTACCTCGTCCACAAGCGACCCCTCACCACAAAGTCTTCACCCCCACTCCCCCTCCCCACACACTCT